AAATGAATATTTCTTAGGATTATCACTTCTTGAATTTTTTAAGGCTGCAAAAAGCATTTAGAGACTTATTTTCAAACTTTATAAACCTTAACGAATGAGAATAATATTTGCAATTAGTTAAAAATTTTGATTCATGACCATATGATTCAAAATTCAAACCCAATATAGGTAGTAGTTAGAGTCGGAGGAATAATAACTTGGCTAAGTGTGTAGGCGTGAAGACAAGCTTCCTTTAGAGGTCTTTAGTTGATTTTCCGACATTAAGTGATTGACACAATAGGAGTTCCTTCTACCCAACTGACTGAGCAATATGATGTAGTAAAACGACCAGGGGAAGGAGAAGCACCTCAATATCAACCGTGAAACCGGTTTACGGAATCACGGAAATCAATCTTGATGGCTCATTAAACAGTTACATAGATTAGATCTAACTTGACAGTTTTGGTAGGATGCCTTCCAAAATTTATTGATCTTTGAAAAAGAATAGCAATTCCATCGAAATCAAACCTCATTCAACCATCTAGATTTCTGAATTAAGATCTTGAAAAGTATAATTGTGCAGTAACAATGAAATTACCATTACTCTCTGTGCATATTGTGGTAGCAAATTTACAAACAATATCAAACTTACATCAACTAATCTTTTGGAATCTTTCAAGTCTTTGCATCAGAAAAGTTGTATATAGAAAAATAAATCATATAACCAACTGGTATTATACAAAGTTGTGGTATAAAAACTCCAAAACAGGATAAACAAATCAGAAGACTTTTTAGCAACACTTAAGCCTAGAGTAGTTTGGGGGAAGAGATGGGCACCTTCCATTATATGCAGGTATGGATCCATCATATTGTATGCGGATAGTTCCATTCAATACTTCCGTCGAATTTGGCAGTAAGGGAGCTTCACGGTGTCCGCGCCATTGCACCACTTTGGCAGGCGGCTTGAATTGTTTTCAAAGAACTTGAGAGTGTAATAAGCATATCTTTTATTTGCAGTTTGGACAAGATAAATTAATAAAGCAATAATAATATGTGAAATTCCTGACCTGGGTTTTAGATCCACACAACATTCAAGTTTAGTTTTGAGTTGAGGATCTGCAATCGAAGGGTAGACTTGATTACAATGGAAAATCCAAGACTTTTTTCAATTTCGATGAAGCTTGGTTGTGACTATCATTGCCTTGTTATCGTCATTGGGTTTTACACGGTGTTTGGTTAAGAGATTTGGGAAATAATTTGGAAAGAGAAAATGAAAATGTAAGTGAAATGTGAATAAAATATACTTACATTTCACTTAATTTCATACCCCTTTTCTCTTTTTTTCCAAATCCCTTCTTAAATTTCCCAACCAAACATATCATTAGGGTTTTGGATGTGAATGAAAATGGAGGGTCGTAGCCTAGGGGTCTTCAATTGATTGGCTTAAACAACGAGAGAGAGAGAGAGGGAGAGAGAGAGAGAGAGGAACGTGGAATGGGTTACATACATGATGAAAGACCTTTTACTAGCATCTGTGAATCACACCATAGCCCAAAACAGTTGGGCACTTAACTAACACTTAAAACCTGATATAATTAGTACCTCACCATCTGTAATTTACACATCAATGTATCAGATCAACATCAATCAATAATATACATCTCAATTTATTTTACACTAACACTTAAAACCTGAATCAAAAATATTTTAGGAAAATTACAATAAACAAAAAAAAAAAATCGGATTTGACCATTGTAAATAAATAAATTCTGAAATTTTAATTTTATCTATTTAAATTTTAATGTTTTGATTTGTTTTCAATTTAAATAATTTATCTATTTCGTTAGGTGAAAGCAACAAAAAAAAAAATCATTTTTTAATTATTATATTCACCAAAAAAATGATATCTTAGACATTTTAATGGCTAAAATATAAATTTTCTGTTGATTTTAATTAAAGAAACTATGTAAGTAGTTTAAATTGAAAATAAATAAAAAATTTGAGTTTAAATTGATAGAATTAAAAACTCAGAATTTATTTTGTATTAATAGTCAAACTTTATTTTTTTTTAATTGTAATTTCTCCAAATATTTTTGTTATTAAAAGGTCTTAGGGTAGTGGGATTTTTCTTTGTTTTCTTGATTTTAACTTGCGTTTCAAAATATTTAATAACCTTTTATATCTCATTTTTCGATGTAAAATTTGTTTTGTTCTTATTGTAAACAAAATTTTGAAGATTTATTTATAACATTTACTATTGCATCTTTAGGCAAAAAAGATTTTATTAACTGGGAATTTGTATGAAGAGATTTTCTTCAAAACCTTTTAGATAATTGAAATAATTTTTTAACCTTTATGATTGAAACTTCAAACAAAAAGTATATGTATATATATAATTTTTTTTAAACCTTGGACAAAGGTTTATTATTGGTTTTTGGACAAGAATGTATTTTAAGTGTTTATAATGATACCTTTGATAATGAGAATTTTTTCTTTTTGGATCCGTAGACAGTTATTTTTTTTAAAAACAAATAAATCTAGATGATTATATTTTTTTGAGTTTTGTACAAAGAGAATTAGAATTTGGGGCACTGAGTTCTTGTGTGTAGATTATCCATTACGAAAATCTTAATTAATTTAATAATTATAATAAGATAATTTTATCATATTTGTATTTAAAATGTGGACAATACAATTACTGTTTATTTTTTCAAAATAAATGCAAAAAGCATTTAGACTTTATTTTGTTTCAATGTAAATTTATTTTTGTTTCAGCAGGTAATACAAAATTTATTTTATTTCCAGATATTTGGTAGACACTTAAAATAGAAAATAAAAAAAAATTACTATATGTATTAGGTAGAAACCAATGAAGGTCCACCCTTTCACCTTTACGCCCCGTTTGTTTTGGGAGATAAATAAATGATTGGAATTGAGATCGAACCCACTAATATTATGTTTGTTTTGAAAGATGGAAAGGGAATTCGTAATCTCATCCGAATTAGGATGAGTCTTTGGGAGGGGATTAGAATAGAGGCTAGGAACTTTGTATTAAAAAATAGTTCGCTGGACTATTTTATTTTATTTTTTACATGTTGGGCGTTTTTTTTAACATTAATGTTTAATGTTTTTGTATTTTTTTTATTATTTTATATAAAAATAATTTAACAATCCCTACACTAATAACTATCATCAAAACAAACACAATTTTACTTAATTCCCCCACTATCAATCACCTCACTAATAATTTTCTCACTATCAATTCTCTCCATTTTACCTCTGAAAACAAACCAACCCTTAAAAATATCAATTTGCTGAATGGGCCCAGCTAATAGTCAACTTCCTAAAAATGACTTACAGAATTTCTAATGATGAGTCATTCTAGAGATGACAAAAAATATTTTTATTTTATTGCAAAATATTTTACTTATTTTTTATTCAATTAAACAATATAAATACATATATTTTACATCGAAACAAATGACACCTTAATTATAATTATTAGATCAATATAATTTATTTCATGAAAAATTCACACACAATTTAATAAGACACACAATTTATAACATCTCCAACCTTGTGTGGCATTTTGCCTATATAAAGGTTACCATAAATTGTACATTTTATTTTGTCTATCTACATTTTTATGTTTCTACTTTAACATTGCTATTTATTTTAACTATTTATTCAAATAGTACTCACTTTATGAAATGTCACATAAGCAATAAAAATGGAAGGAAAAAATCACAAGAATCAAATACATTTTACTTAACTTTTGAAGATTAGTTACATTTTAGCTAGCAAGATGGGATGACGACAAAATGCCCATCATATACCCAAAGAATTGGAGTTAAAGAAACTGAATTACACTAGACATTTTAACTAATTGACAATAGTATATTAAAGATGCCCAATATATTAGAGATGCTATTAAAATCCACCAAAGTAAAACTATGATAGCGCCACAGATTGAGACTAGCCAAAATTTTTTGCTAAAATGCGTGGGACACAATCTTGGACCTATGGCATTCACATGATCAAATATTTAAGTGAGGTATTTAGAAAAGAATAATGCTTGGGACCCCTTTTGGGGGTCACCCCCTCACCCCCCTTTGCTACGTGGCAGGAGGTGATTGGAGGAGCAGGAAAAAAAAAGAAAAAGAAAAAGAAAAAGAAAAAGTAACCAATGAAAGAGAGAGGGGGTCAAAGGGGGTGGGGAGAAAAGGGGGGATGAATCATTACTCTTTAGAAAATTATTAGTTGATCCAGAAACAATCCGACGTTTTGCACCTATGCCATTTTTATTAGCTAGATCCTTTGTTGTTTGGGCCGTGGCAATCACAATCTTATAAAACAATCATGTTCTTGTACCACCTTATAACTTCTTGGAATATTCACATTTTGCAAATATACCAATTAGTATACTAATTATTGTACTAATTGATAATGTGACATAATTTAAGAGGCTTTGGTATTTGTAATTTGTATAATGAATGGGGTCAATAATACACTAATTAGTACACTAATTAGTACATATAACACCGCCGAATAGATAAATGTTGAAATCATAACTTTATGGAATGAGTAATACAATACTAATTTCATTCTTTATTTAAATTTTTCATTTGTCACCGGTGACAACGAGACTCATATTAATAAAAAAATACATATATAAATAAATTTTTATCTATTTTTTCATCTCTACACACAAAAAAGTGGGTCATGTATGCATTTATTAGTGTGAATCTCGTTGTCTTATGAGTAAGAATAAGAAAATAATGTAAAAAATGAATTATGTTTAGCATTACACATTAATAAAAATACATAAAATTCGCTTATGTTTAGAAATTTAACTTTTGTCTCTTTGTTTTTCTTTGGTCAAGCAAGACAAATCCAGATGAACCAATCCCAGTCATGGATCGATGAAACCCAGCTGAATTTTGAGCATTACAAATCCCCAAATTTCAAACTCACTACTTTACCTTTTAATCAAAACTCTTCAGTTCAGAGTTCATAGCAAAATGGCAGAGACTGCAGTGTTCCATCTACTAGCCAACTTCGCACCCTTCCTCCAACAAGAGGCCCATTTGTTGACCGGAGTTCGAAATGAGATCGAATACATCAGAGATGAATTCAATCGCATGATGTCTTTTCTCAGAGTTGCCGATGCCATAGAAGAGAACGACCCCGAACTCAAAGTATGGGTCAAGCAAGTGCGTGAAGCTGCTTATGACATTGGAGATGTTCTCGACTTGTTCATGCTTCGCCTCGGACATCGTCATGGCCATGGATTTTGCGGTTTTCTTCGTAAGGTTTCTTACTTTATTAAGACTTCAAGAACTCGTCACCAAATTGCTTTTGAAGTACAAAGAATGAAGTCCAAAGTCGACAATATTTCGAAAGGACATCAGAGGTACCATGACAGATATGGTACGTTAGAGCAAGGCTCAAGCTCAAGGTCCACTGGTTTTAACAAAGCAAGGCATGATTGTCGTGGCGATGCCCTTCTTCTCGATGAAGCTGAGCTTGTGGGCATTGATGAACCCAAATCACAACTAATTACGTGGTTGGTGCATGAAGATCCCAGACTCAAGGTGCTTTCCCTATCAGGAATGGGCGGATTGGGCAAAACAACACTAGTTAAAAAGGTCTTTGATGATGTAGTTGTGAAGAAGCATTTCCAGAACCATGCTTGGATCACTGTTTCTGAATCATTCAACATCAAGGAGCTCCTAAAAGGCATGATCCAACAACTGTTTGAAGAAGTCAGGCAACCTGTCCCACAAGGGGTGGAATACATGAATACCAACAGCTTAAAAGGGATAATTAAAGCTTTCCTGCAACAAAAGAGGTATGTGCTTGTTTTCGATGATGTATGGGATATTCATGCCTGGCAATCTTTTAGATATGTGTTTCCTATTGGCAATTGTGGCAGTCAAGTAGTGCTGACAACCAGAAATGCAGATTTAGCTTCTTTCTCAAGTAAAGAATATCATGGGGATGTCTATAACCTTCAGCCCTTGCCTCCCAAAGAGTCTTGGACATTGTTTTGCAGGAAAACATCTATGGAGAATTCTTGCCCTTCATATTTGGAAGGGCTTTCAAGAGCTATCTTGAAAAGATGTGAGGGATTGCGACTTGCAATTGTGGCAATTAGTGGTCTTTTATCAACAAAGGATAACAATGTGGATGAGTGGGATAAGATCAACCTCAGTCTTGGTGCAGAACTAGGAGGAAATGACAAACTCCTAAGTATGAAGAAAATATTGTCACTCAGTTACATTGATTTATCTTACTATCTAAAGTTCTGCTTTCTGTATTCAAGTGTTTTTCCAGAGGATTATTTGATTGAACACGGGAGATTGATTCGATTATGGGTGGCAGAAGGCTTTGTGGAAATGAAAGCAGGAATGACTATAGAAGAAGTTGCTGAGGGCTACCTCAATGAGCTAATCAATAGAAGCATAGTTCAAGTGGCACAGATGAGATCAGATGGAAGGGTCCAGACATATCGTATCCATGACCTCTGGCATGAAATTATTGTATCAAAGTCAGGAGAGCAAAACATTGTGACAATTGCTGGTGAACAAAAAAGTGTGGCCCGAAAAAGTGCGGCGCTTATCAATCCACAACCATTTGGAAAATACACAACAAAGCAAGTGTTTCACTCGACTTCGTTCTTTGCTTATGTTCAATGCAACACATTCACTGTCCATGCTTGCATTGTCAAATGATGGTCTACAGTTGCTGACTGTGTTGGAATTGAGAGGTGCTTTCTTGGAGACATTCCCAAATGATGTTTTGAAACTACTTCAACTCAGGTATTTAAGCTTGAGGGGAACCAATGTAAAAATAATTCCGAAGTCGATTGGAAAGCTCCAAAATCTGGAAACATTGGACCTTAAAGATACACATGTCACTGAGTTGCCTGATGATATGTTGAAGCTCCAACGACTTCGCCATATCTTGTTGTATCACTGCATACAAGATCCTGCTCCTTCCCTTCGTTTTCAACACCATTGCGGATTCAAGGCCCCGACGGAAATAGGAAGTTTGTCATCCTTACAGACACTTTGTTCTATTGAAACAAACCATGATAATGGGACCATTTTGCTAGGGGAGGTAGGGAAATTGGCTCAACTGAGGAAATTACAGATTGAAAAACTGAGAAATGAAGATGGAAGGGTGTTATGCTCGTCCCTTGAGAAGCTTAGTAACCTTCGCTCATTGGTTGTTCGTGCAATAGGAGAAGACGATATCATTGATCTAGATTCTCTTTCTTCACCACCTCAACTTCTTCGAACGCTCTACCTAGGAGGAAGTTTACATAAGGTACCACATTGGATACCTTCACTGCACAGCTTGGTAAGAGTAATTTTTGCGTGTAGTAAGTTAAGGGATGTTGATCCACTAGAATCCCTTCAAGGTCTGCCCAATTTGGTTGAACTTCAACTTCATCAGACATATGAAGGGGAAGAATTGTATTTCAAGGCTGGTGGATTTCAAAGACTTGTGAGATTATACCTTGGTGGATTAAAAGGACTGAGATGGGTGAAAGTGGAGGTTGGCTCAATGCCTCATCTTAAAGAGTTAACTATCAGTGAATGTGAATTGGTAGAGGAGTTACCCTCTGGCTTTGAACATCTAACCAACCTTAAAACTCTTTATTTGGTTGATATGTCTAATGAATTGATTTCGAGCCTAAACAAAGACTTAGAAGGTGGGAATTATTGGAAAACTGCAAACATTCCAGAAGTTTGGATAGGGAACACAAAATGTGGCTATTTTGAAGGAAATTATCTATAGCGACAGAGGAGAAATCTCTAACCATATTGGATCATTACAACATTTAGAATGTTTATTATGTATTTATTTATTTTCATGTGCTCTTGGTACTTGATTTGTTCTATAATATTGGGATCAAATTTTTCTTTATTTTTTTTTTCTTTTTTCTGTTACATTTTTGTTTTTTTAGTAGATCAGGAGCTTGTTATTTGACCTCCTAATTTTGATCCTAGAGAGTTGGTAACTTCGCAAATTTTTGAATTGGTACTGTAAATCTTAGGGTTCGTTTGATGAGGTTTTTATTTTATTTATTTTTCTTTAGCTTTAGATTTTTTGAAATTGGAATAAAAAACATGTTTGCTAATTGTTTTCACTTTAAAAAAAAAAAAAAAAACGGCTACAATTCTCAGAATTTGTGAAAATAAGAAAAACGTCTCCCTCACCCGTTCGTTCTCTGACCTAGGGTTACAAATGAGACAAACCGAGCCAAGCTGATTTTTGCTGAGCTCAAGCTTGGCTCATTTGCTTATCGAGCTCGTTTATTGAGCTCGAGCTTGGTTCGATAACTAACTAGGCTCAATAAGATTTTTTTTATTTTTTATATTATTTAAATTCATAAATATTATTTATATTATTTAATACATAAATAATGTATTTATGCTATTATTCATATACTTTTTATTTAATATATAAATAATATATTTATTATATAATTTAAATAAAGATAAACGAGTCGAGCTTAATTGAGCTCGAACTAGACTCGTTTACTAAATGAGCCTAATATTCGAGTTTGAGCTCGACTTGTTTACTAAACGAACAAACGAGCCGAACTGAGCCCTTAACGAGCCGAGCAGAGCCCAACCAGCTTGCGAACAACTCGGTTCATTTGCAGCTCTACTTTGTCTACATTCTCTACTCCAGCAACCACTCCCAAGCACTCCCTCCTTTTTGGTAACTTACTAAACTTGTTTTCTTGTTTTCATTTTGGAAAACAATATAAAAGTTCATTTTCTAAACTCACTTTTTAGACCCAGTGATATGTAATGTAAAAGAGATGATTAGTTGATGACAAGGTTTTAAAAAGCGGCCGTAACCGTTATGTAACACCGTTACGTAACAGTTTTGGTGGTTACCGCTACCCGTTATGGCCGCTTTTGCAGTGTGATTGAGATTCACTGGTGTGTTGGCCGTAGTGGCTGCTGTAGCGGTCGTAACGGTGCTGTAACAGCCGTAACGGCCTGTTACGCACCATTACGTAACGGTTCTGAACTGTTTCTTTCGAAAAAAACAAAAAATAAGCTAAAAATGAGAGAAGAGGGATAGAGAGAAGAGGGAAGATAAAGAGAGAAAATGGAGGAGCAAGAGATAGAAAGAGAGAGAGAAGAGGAAAGATGAAGAATATGTTATTGATTTGTTGAAACTGTAAGACTTATGCTATTCTATTCAGCTACTATCACTCAACCATTTTGTTTGTGTGTCTATCTATATATTGTTTGATAATAATAATAAACCAAACCAAACCAAACCAAGCCTTAAGTCCCATCAAATGGGGTCGGCTACATGAATCCTTCTTCTCCACGCGGCCCTATCAAAGGCCATTTCATTAGTCAAATTAAGTAGATTCATATCTCTATTTATAACGCTAGTCAACGTTAATCTAGGCCTACCCCGTCCCCTAACACTTCCATCTACCGTTACAGCATCGCATCTCTTCACTACTGCCGCTGTTGGTTTTCATTGAATATGGCCAAACCTTCTCAAACGATTCGCTCTCAACTTATCTCCTATCGGTGCTACTCCTACCCATTCCCAAATACACTCATTCATAATCTTGTCTTGTCTTGTCTAGTCTTACCACACATCCACCTTAGCATCCTCATCTCAGCCACACTCATCTTATCTACATGTTGTTTCTTGGTTGCCCAACACTCCGTCCCATACAACATAGCTGGTCTAATAGCCGTTCTATAGAACTTACCTTTTAGTCTAGTGGGTATTCGTTTATCGCACAATACCCCAGACGCACTTCTCCACTTAACCATCCCGCCTTAATCCTATGGGCCACATCTGCATCAATCTCTCCCGCTGTTGTGATAATCGACCCTATAAATAACGAAAATGTTCACTCTTAGGCAGTTCTTGGTTCTCAATCTTCACTTTCTCCTCTGCTTCAATGATAATAATAATAATAATAACTAATAATAATAAAATAATAATAATAATAATAATAAGTGGGGCCAGTATCTTAATTGGCTTGGTTAAACAATATGGTATATATATATTAGTATTATATATATATATATATTTAGACTCTTATTTATTCTCTTATTTTTTTCATTATTTATCCTATATATAATAGTTAGTGATTGATTTGTTGTATAATATAAAGTCATTAATTATTAAAATAAAATGTAAAAAACTCAGTTTATAGTGATTTAAAAATATGAAATATATTGGATCATACTTAAAAATTTACAAAAATTGATCAATATTTATTTTAAACCCAATAAATATGATCATGGAAAAAAAAATATGCGTATCGGTAAGTTTTTTTCAAATTGTGTGAAAAATAAAAAAATTCACGGTTCCAGTTACCGCAACCGTTACGCTACGGCCTTGACACCCTGCAACTGCAACCGCGCTACCGCCACCGTTACGGCGACCGCAACTGCTTTTCAGAACCTTGGTTGATGATTAGAGAAAACATAAGAGAGAGAGAGAGAGAGAGAGAGAGAGAGTTGTGGTTGATGATTAGAGAAAACATGAGAGAGATAGTTGACTTAAATAATCTAGGATAAATTACAAATACACCTCCTAGAGTTTATTCAAATACGGATTGCCCCTGTAGTTTTGAAATTATAAAGACCTACTTGTCAAACATTTTTATTAAACAAAATAAAAAATAAAAAATAAATTCTATTTATTCTCTTATATAACAATGAAATTATTTGAATTGTTAATTAAAATATATTTCTGATATCATTAAAAACGGGTAATTAACTTGATGATTTATTAATAAAAGGGGTCATTTATTATATAATTCAAAACTTGAAGGGGTGGGATGTACTTTCCATAACCACAAGGGCAATATGTAATTTAAGCAAATCTCAAGGCATGTATTTATAATCTACCCAATATTCTAATAGAGTGCCACATCATTAGGTTTGAAAAATAGGTCTAACTTTTTAGCTAGAGTAGCACTACTCTATGATTTTTTTATGTATGGAGAACATGTATAATATGCTATTTATTTTAGTTTTTACAAAAAAAAAAAATAAAAAATAAAAAATAAGAAGAACAAAGAATAAAGAATAAACATATTTTATATTTTTTTTACATAGAAAAAAAAAAAACGACGTGTTACTAAACACTACTTTAAATATTGGGTTTCTAATCATTTTAATTTAAATTGGCACAAGTTTTTTAAATCTCAAAATGAATATTTCTTAGGATAATCACTTTTTGAATTTTTTAGGTCTGCAAAAAGCATTTGGAGACTTATTTTCAAACTTTATAAACCTCAAGGAATGAGAATAATATATGAGATTAGTTTTAAAAATTTATTCATGACTGACTATATGATTCAAAGTTCAAACTCAATATTAGCCATTTCTACTCTACATAGATTAGATCTAACTTCACAATTTTTGTATGCCTTCCAAAATATATTGATCTTTGAAAAAGAATAACAATTCCATCCAAATCAAACCTTATTCAATCAACGCAACAATTGTGATTTTTTTTTTTTTTTTTGTTGAATTTCTCTCAAGTTCATGCCCAATGGGCCCATGACAGGTTCGTTTCAATGATTTAAACCGTTCATTTTGTAAGATCCTCATTATCCATGAAAAATAATATAATAATCATAACATTTTTATTTTATCGTATTTGTCTAAAAAAAAAAACAATAAGTACGTTTGGTGAGGTGGTTATGGACATGTTTGCATTGGACAACTTCTTGGCTATTATTTTAATCAATTTTTCTCCAACCTTGATGGAGATTGTATATAATGAATGAGGTCTATTTTCATGACTCATTGATGGACCTCATTCTTTATGTACTACTGCTTTTTTGTCTTGGTATCAAAATTTCATTATCAAACCATCTTTTAAATGTCTCTTCTATTTGATCTCTTTATTCTTCTTCTAACAATAATGGTAGTGGCACAAAAAAGTAAAAATAGAAGTGTATGAAAAAAATAAATTTGTGTTGTGTTCATTTTTATGTGCATATTTGTGTGTGTGTTTTTTTTATGTACACATAAGCATTGCTCTTATGTCTTTACACTTTCACATAGAATTTTGTAAACGAGTCAAGTTAAGCTTAGTAAATAGGTTGTGCAAGTTTGACTTGAAAACTTAATGAGCATGGTTTGTTTATATTTTGAGTCGATCTCAACTAAACTTAATCAAATGAATCATGAGGCGGAAGGTGAAAAATGATTGAATGCTATTGACTCATGATTTTAACTAGTCCCATTCACTTGTAAGGCTAATACCAACAAGTTCCATTCTCATACTAAAATAGTTAATGTAGTGACAACAACAAAATCAAAGTTCCTAAATTAACCACAAGAATTGAATTTATCAAAACCAGCTACAGTGTCAAGGACTCTGCACCAACTAGGTTGCTATCTGATATAAATTCTCAAGTCTAAATTTTCCTTTTGAAATGTCATCTTCTATAAATTCTCAAACATCATCTGAATTTGAGCATAGCTCAAGTGGATGTACTTCCAGGTTTCTAGAGGGAGGTTTGGCATTCAAGCTTATGGAGATGCGTTGAATCCCGGTTGTGCTAACCCTAACTTAATAACCCACTAACATCATACCAAGTGCTCCAAAAAAGAAATGTCTAAGCATCTTGTAGCTGATTATCATCACATAAAATCAGAATTTCAATAGCTTTCTTTTCTCTACTCTTATTTATTTTATTTTGCCCAATAAAAAGAACAATAGTGTAGTGTTAAGGCAATAGAAACCTTGATTTTAGACGTGAATGCCATTTCAACATATGACAC